AAGAAATTAAAATTAAAATTACGGAAAAACTGACGAAAAATTAAAAACATTTCAACTTTTTCTCATTCTTTTCAAACAACAACATGGAGCTTCATGAGGCTTCAGTTAAAACTGACTGCTACACTGAACGTGTTGACAGCAACCATAGCTAACAAAAAAAAAATTTATGTGCAAAACTATAACTACATAATGGACATTACATTGTTTTCTCGCTTTAACTGACAATTAAAGCAAAATACACAAAACAAACGAAAAATTGTGCATAAATGTATTTTTTGATTTTTTTGTATTTTTTTTTTAATTATTGTGCTTTTGTGTTTTTTTTTTATTTTTTTTCGTTGTTATGTCCGATTTAAAAATCATAAAACTCAAAAAAAAAAACGAATTGTAACATCCAATACGGTCGCTATAGACGTGTCGTTATGTCAAATTTTTTTTTCTAAGAAAATGTATGTCGGCCAAACAAATGTTGGAAGTTTGGTCGTTTTATTAGGTTCGTCGTTGTAAGCGACGTTGTTATAAGTGAATTCCACTGTAATTAAAATAATATTAACAATAATAATAATAATAATAATAATAATAATAATAATAATAATAATAATAATAAAAATCATATTAATAATAAAATTATATTAAAAATAATAATAATATTAATAATAATAATAATAACAATAATAATAATAATAATAATAATAATAATAATAATAATAATAATAATAACAATAATAATAATAATAATAATAATAGTAACAATAATAATAATAATATTAATAATAATAATAATAATATTAAAAATTATAATAATAATAATAATAATAATAATAAAAATAACAATAATAATAATAATAATAATAATAATAACAATAACAATAGTATTAATAATAATAACAATAATAACGTCAAAAATATTTTGACAGCTGTTGATATTTAGGAGGAGTATTATGAAATTGATATTTAGGAGGAGTATTATGAAATTGAAATGACGATGACGATGAAGTCGAGTTGCAGGAGGGGTTGAGTTTTAGCAGGTTGTAGGAGTGAGCGCCGGAGTTGTAGCAGGTTCTAAGGGTCGAGTTGTAGCAAGTTCTAAGGTTCCGAGTTGTAGCATGTTCTAAAGGTCGAATTATAGCAGGTTCTAAGGGCGGCCGAGTTGTAGCAGGTTCTAAGGGCCGAGTTGTAGCAGGTTCTAAGAGCCGAGTTGTAGCAGGTTCTAAGAGCCGAGTTGTAGCATGTTCTAAAGGTCGAATTTTCGCAGGTTCTAAGGGCCGAGTTGTAGCAGGTTCTAAGAGCCGAGTTGTAGCAGGTTTTAAGAGCCGGAGGAGGTTCGCGGTAGGTTGTAAGGGTTGGGGCAGTTGAGTTGTAGCAGGTTCCAACAGTGTCGAATTCATAAACAGGTTCTAGGAGAGGGCGGTGGCGGCAGCGGTGGCGGTGGCGGTGGCGGTGGCGGTGGCGAAGAACCGGGTTGTAGCGGCTGCTGTTGAAACCGATTGAAATTTTTTTATTTTAATAAGAATATCCTATGGTTGTCTGATGAAAGCAATTTTTTCCATTATCATAAAAATGTATGAAAATCGTTCTTTTTCGACATGAGTTTTTAAAAATGTAAAATGAAAGCTTTTGAGATAAAAAAAAATTTAAAAAATATTTTTGCGGTTTTTTTCAAGTTTTATAAAAGATAAGAAATTTTATTAAAACTGTATTGCAGAATGAGGGAATTGAAAAAAAAATGATATGATACTATACTATATTATGTCTTCATGAACTTGAAAAATGACGTCAGGAGATATAGTAATAATATGACGTCAGGAGACTCTGTAATAATATGAAATGATATTAATTATGTAAAAATAGCCTAGTATAGGATACGGTTAACCATTATAAATTATCAAAGAATTTGAATGATATTAAATTAAACACGAACTTCAATACAATTACCGAAATATAATTTATAAATAGTACTTTGTTTGAGTGCATCAGTAAAACTACATAAAATTAATTAAGAATTAATTAAAAATTAGTCAGTGAAGGAATTATAAAAATGAAACGTTCAGTTCAAAATAATTTCAAAACTTGCTTAGATTGCAATATTGAAGTATTATGCAAGGATTGGCTGTATCATACTAAAACATTTGCACATAAAAAAAATGCTAAAGAAATTGTGGATGGAGACTTAAAACGTGTGAAGAGCAATTTCAAAGAACGGGTGGAAACTTTCATGTTAGAAAATAATGATGAAAGCAATATTTTACCCGAATCGTTTCTACAAAATTCCAAAGAAAGGATCACCAAATTGTTAAGCAGCATGTTAATAAAACATCGAGCATTTAAATTTAATTTGGAGCTGTTTGCAGAATATGTAAAAATCGAAAAAAGAGGGAATGCTGAAGTTAATTTTGATGATGAATATGATGATGAACTCATAACATCAATAAAATCGTTTAATAGCAAATGTTGCGTATATTACATGAAGCTGAAATATATGAAAGCCATGATAAGATGATGCAGAATATTATAAAAAAGACAGACGAATTTCAAGAACGAGATAGTGGATGGGCGTTAATTAAAATTATACATTTGGAAATTAACGTCAATGAATACAAACCTTTACGTGGTTCACAATATCTACCATTACCGCTATTTATAAAAAATAAAAAAGCATGCATCAACATTATGAATTCAGATGAATATTGCTTTAAATGGAGTGTAGCAGCTGCATTTCATACTGGAAATCACCCTGAAAGAACATCAACGTATAAGATTCGAGATATTAGAGCGGAAAGAATTACATTAGAAAATAATATTTCTTTAAAATTCGATGGGTTAACATTTCCGCTTAAAGTTAGTGATATAAAAATATTTGAAGAATTAAACTCAAATATCAGCATAAATGTTTTTGGATATGAAAAAGTGGAAACCAACGATAATACGTTCTTTCAAATTAGTGGACCGTATTATTGTACAACAGAAAAAAAAGTGCATCATATAAATCTGTTGTTGATAGAAAACGAAGAAAAATCACACTATGTATATATAAAAAATATATCCAGACTAATCGCATCACAAATCAGTAAACATAAAGGAAGTATTTTTTTATGTGAAAATTGCTTGTTACATTTTTATAATGAAGCGGATTTAAAACAACATGAGCCTGAGTGTAACAGAATTGTTACATCAATGCCAAAAAATGAAAACAAGATACTAAAATTCAAAAACTTTGGAAAGAAAATGGTAGTTCCTTTTGCAATTTACGCGGACTTTGAATGCATTCTAGAAAATATCGATACATGCTCACCAGATCCGAAGATATCATCAACGATAGATATCCAACAACATGTTCCGTGCTCTTATGCATACTACATTAAATGCTCATATGATGATAATTTAGATGAATTTCGCATGCAGACTAATCCTGGATGTGAGAATGATTTTGTAAGTAATTTAATTAAAAATGTGAAAAATATAGCTTGTAAGTATTTAGATAGTATAGTTCCAATGAAAAAATTAACAGAATTAGAATTAAAAAAGCATTTAGAAAATAATATTATATTAATGTTAAATTAAAAAAGCATTTAGAAAATGGGAATATTAATGTTATACCTATTAATAAAGAAAATTATATTTCTCTTTCTAAGTGGATTGAATACGAAGAAAATAAATTTGTAGAAATTAGATTTTTAGATTCTTTTAGATTTATGGATACCAGTTTAGAATTATTAGCTTCATACTTATCTGATAGCGATTTATTAACTGTGAGAAAAATGTTTACCGATGTTGAAAATTTTTCTTTGGTCAGACGTAAAGGGATATTTCCATATGAATATCTAAATTCATGGGAAAAATTAAACGATACTACACTACCATCAAAAATTCAATTTAATAATAGTCTATTAGATAGTGTTTACTCAGACGAAGATTATGCTCACGCGGAAAGAGTATGGGAAAAATTTGAATGCAAAAGTTTACGTGATTATTTAGAATTATATTTAAAGATAGATGTGTTGTTATTAACAGATATTTTTCAAAATTTCCGTCAAGTATATCTGAAAATATATTCTTTAGATCCTTGTCAATATTTTACGGCTCCTGGGTTGGCTTGGGACTCTATGTTAAAAACAACAAAAATCGAATTGGAACTGTTAACGGATATCAATATGCATAATTTTATTAAAAGAGGTATAAGAGGCGGTTTAACGCAATGCAGCTTAAGGCATTCTGTTGCTAACAATAAATACTTAGAGAATTACGATGCGAATAAGCCATCACAATATATTATGTATTTAGACGTAAACAATCTTTACGGTCTAGCCCAATCAGAATATCTACCCCATTCAAATTTTAAGTGGTGTAAAAATGTTGATATTGATGTTTCAAATATATCAGATGACTCAGAGATAGGCTATATTTTAGAGGTGGATTTAGAATATCCATCTTCTTTACATGTTTCACATAACGACTTACCGTTCTGTGCAGAAAATAAGCAAAATTCTAATATGAAACAGAAAAAGTTAGTAGCTGATCTGGAGGCAAAAAAAAAATATATCATTCACTATAGAAATTTAAAACACTGTTTAAAACATGGTTTAATTTTAAAGAAAATTTATAGAGTATTAGAATTCAATCAATCTCGCTGGCTAAAGAGCTTTATTGATTTGAATAATTTTCATAGAACCCGAGCTACAAATGATTTTCAAAAAAACTTTTTCAAAAAGCAAAACAATGCTAACTATGGTAAAACCATGGAAAATGTAGACAAAAGAAAGGATGTGAAAATTGTAACTGATTGGGAAAGTAGTGGCCGCCGTTTGGGCGCTCGAGCTTAAATATCCCGATCGAATTTTCACAGTATAGCGCATTTCAATGTATAGGTTCCATTATGATTATATTAAATTAAAGTATAAAGAAGATATTAGTTTAAATTATATGGATACAGATTCATTCATTTACACCATAAAAACGGACGACTTTTATAGTGATATGTTACCTGATATCGATTCTAGATATGATACTTCTGAATATAATTCTACAAATCCGTATAATATTCCCAGAAAAAACAAAAAAGTATTAGGTATGATGAAAGACGAATGCAATGGTCGCATTATAAAGGAATTTTTTTTTTTTTTTTTTTTAGATTTATTTATTAGTTATGATAACTTTTTATAAAACATTCGTTATATGTACATTCAATATACTATTCTATATCAAATCAACTGTAAATAAAATTTATCTATCTGTATAAATTTAACAATTCAAAATTTTATAATAAATTTGAAAATTCAATTACTATATAGAATTAATATATACATAAGAGATCTACTAATTACAGAAATACAAAGAAAGTACATAAAGTTAAGAAATGCAAAAATCAACAGAATTTAATAATACTTTTTTTAAATGTGGCAAAATTGTTTTCATTTTTCACCAGTACTGGTAAAGAGTTAAATAATTTAGTAGCTTTGTATAATAATGTGTTCTGCGAGCTTGATCTTTTGTAAAGTGGCAGTCTGAAATCACCAACGTTTCGCAAATTGTAATTTCCTCCGACGTAGTTCAAATTTCTTTGCAAATATTCAGGTAGTAGACCATATTTAATTTTAAAGATGAACACCAATGCATTAAAATTTAACCTTTGGTTTATATTCATCCACTTCAGTTTTAAAAGCATACTTACAATGCTGGTTCTCTTGTTAACTTTTAAAATGATTCTCATTGCTCTGTTTTGAAGTTTTTGTAATTTGTTCCTCTTTTCTTCACTACATATAAATAGAATAGATGAACAATAGTCTATATGTGGAAGAATTAGACTATTGTACAACATTACAGCACATTTTTCAGATACCGATTTTCTAATCCTCGCCAGGAAACCAATTTTCTTGGATATTTTCCCACGAATGTAGTCTGTATGCTCATCGAACTTCAATTTGTTATCAACAAAAACTCCTAAGTACTTTATACTTTGAACAGATTCTATTTCTACATTATCCACTTTAACCGCAATGTTTCTGTTTCCACCATTTACACACATAACTTTTGTTTTACTGGTGTTCAGCATTAATTTATTCCTACACAGCCACTTATGTAAATTACCCATATCAGAATTTATTTGCTGTTCAATTATATCGGCGTTTTTCCCAACAATATAAGTCAATGTGTCGTCTGCAAACAAACATACTTTTGAATGAATTAACACATTTTGTATGTCATTTATGTATAATAAAAATAAGACTACACCCAAAATAGTTCCTTGAGGAACTCCTAGGTCTAGAAATCTAGCATCAGAATATACATCTTTTAACTTCGTTCTTTGAGATCTGCTACTTAGGTATGATGAGAACCAGCTTAATTCTTTGTTTCGAATCCCATACGACTTTAATTTACTAATCAATATTTCTCTGCTGATGGTTTCAAAAGCCCTTTTCAAGTCTAAAAAAACAGCTACTATCATTTTTCCACTATCAGTTTCCTTTCTCCACTCATTCAAGACCCAAGTCAAAGAAGTTTCCGTAGAGTGCGCTTTTCTAAAACCAGATTGTTCTTTACATAATATTTCATTTCTCTCCAAAAAATTCTCCAACTGATTACACACAACCTTCTCCAAAACTTTTTCAAAGAGTGGCATCATATTTATCGGTCGCATATTATCCGCACTTTTAGCGTTTTTAACTTTGTTTACTGGTACCACCACTGACTCTTTCCAAGCTTCAGGAAATTTACCATCTTCAAACGATTTATTAATTATTTGCACAAGAATTGGAAGAAAAACTTCTTTGCAATCTAATAATATTTTGGAATTGAGGCCATTGAAATCATTTTTATTATTCATTACTTTTATTATATTGAGTAATTCATTAATATTAATTTTCTTGAAAGTAAAGCAATTATTTACCGGAGTAATATTATCAGTGTAGTTCATCATAGGAATCTGTTTATTAATTTTTTTAATACTCTCTATAAAATATTCATTTAAAGAATTTACTATTTCTAATCTGTTACTTATTTTTTTATTATTTATTTCTAATTCAGATATATAATATTCATCTTTCAAGAGTACATATTTCTTTATAGTTCTCCACATTTCTTTGGGATTCCCCACTTTACTTTCAATTTTAGTTTCAATATATTTGTTCTTTGCTTCTTGACATTTTTTTTTATATTCATTTCTAATTTTTGTGTATTGTTTCCAACTATCATGACTTTGTAGCATAGTGTGCCTGCTTCTCAAATGAATCTTATTTAACTTGATGGTATTTAATTCCTCATTGAACCATTCAGCTTTATTATTCCTTACCGTTATAGATTTTCTTAATTTTTGGATTGAGTGTTTGATTGCATTTTCTAAATTTAGAACACAACTATTTAAATCTTCTATGTTTGCTGTGATATTTATATTATTTTCATTTAACGCATTTAAAAATATTTCTTTGTCATATTTTACATATGTTATACGCTCTGGGGTTTTCTTATTAGATTCAATAATTACATTGATGCTTATCATTTCATGGT